CATCTTACTATGTAGGAAGTATAAATAAGAACACTGTAGTCCAGGTCTGTGTCTACAGGCAAAAAGTGACACCCTAGTTGCAAAAGAACTAGAACAAAAAGGGATAATGGCTCAAATGACAGAGCCCTTGCCTAGGAAGCACAAAGTCCTGACTGCAATTTCAGAACCAGAAAAAAAAAAAAAAGAAACCTCCTGATTCTTGTTAAAATCTTCTCCCTATCCCTAGGATAGGAATCCCCTAGGATCTCCCGGAAATGTACTTCATATGGGGGCAAATCAACCCAGTCACTACAGTGGAGGGCCCCTCCATGTTGCCTTCCCAGGTCATACCCATAGCTCTGAAGGAGCTCATGTTGTCACAGTTGTCAATGCCCTTGACCAAAGATGTACTTTCCTATGTACTAGTCAGTTTTCCCTGTGCCAGGGTATTACCGTTGGCTTCTTTCTTGAGCTGGATCCAGGAGGCCTGAAACTAGCCCATCACCAAATTGGGCCCAAAGCTGTTGCCTTTGTTCTTAATCCCCCTCATTTAGGGAACAGCCCCCTCTCAAGGCTTCTCTTCTCATCTCTCTTTTTATAAGGAATTCTCAATGGTTTCTCTAACTTCATTCTGCTCACTTAGCATATTACTGATCTCTCTTTTCCAACTTCCCTGGAAGTGATACATACTAATCTGAGTGAGTATCCCCCATAAAAATTTGCAAACACATCTCTGATTCAACTGTTTCATGTCAACCTGAATGTTTAGCTTCTCATGCTAAAACTATCATCTTAATTTCAGATGTGCAAAGTTTTCAACTCGAGTTCAGGAAGCAGAAGATTCAACACAGCACAGAGATTGGAAGGAATTCTCAGGATAACAATGAAGAGAAACAGAAGGTCCACATCTGTGCAGCAGACATGAAGAGCCATTAGTTTAGCTTGGAGCTGGAGGACAAGAGAGATGCCTCCCAGAAGGCAAACACAGAATAACATAAGCAATGATACATTTGACATCAGGGAAAATTGTATCCACTACTTCTATAAGATATGGAAAGATTTAGCAGTGGATAAGCTGGGCAGTAAAAAGCAAGGCATTATTCTAGAAAAGAAATTAAAAAGAGTTGTAAGTACAGTACATGAATAACTTAGTAGTGAACAATATTTATTTAGTAGTAATAATGCAGATGTTATAATGACCCAAAAAATTGGTGATTTGGGTAGTAATAAGGAGTTGGAGATTTTAGATGTAATTACTCACCTATCATTATAGGAAGTTAATCATTAAGGGTTATAGCTCAGTGGTAGTACACTTGACTAGCATGTTAAAAGCCCTGGGTTTAATCCTCAGTTAATCATTACTGTTTCAAAAGAGAGGAGTGAAAGCATGGGAATCTATTCCATAAGAAAGAAATGTGAATTGAATGTAGCTACATTTAGGGAAAGATTCAGGGTTCCTAAGAGTGGGACAAGACACCATTGTGAGGTTTTGCTTGCTAATCGACTATTTACATCTTCCAGTGTAATTAAAATAATAATTAGGGGCTTCATGGTAGAGAACTTGATTAGCATGCTCAAGCCCTTGACTAGATGCCCAGACTGCAAAATTAAATTCATAAATAAGTATTAAAATATATCTTTAAGCGGAGTGCCAAGGGCTCATGCCTGAAATCCTAGCTACTCAGGTAGCTGAGACCTGAGGATTGTGGTTCAAAGTCAGCCCAGGTAGGAAAGTCTGTGAGACTCTTATCTCCCATTTACCACCAAAAAGTTGGAAGTGGAGCTGTGGGTCAAATGGTAGAGTGCTAGCCTTAAGCAAAAAAGCTCAGGGACAAACAAGTAGGTTCTGAGTTCAAGCTGCAGGACTAGTGCACACACACACACACACACACACACACACACACACACACGTGCACACACACATGCACACAGTGTGTCTTCAGATTAACATTTCTGAAGATTTCATTCATAAATAGTCCTCTAAAAAGTTTTGAAATCATTTCTACATAGAAAGGATTTGGTGCTTTTAAAGACAGTTTTTGTTTTGTTTTGTTTTTTTAAAAACGTCTACCAAAATGTCAGAATTCTTAGGGTACTCTGACATATAAGCTTCTGGACTGTGAACTCTTTGGGGACATAGTTTCTCTTATTTGTATATCTGTGGGCACAGAGCCTAGTATACATCAAGCTCTTGATGTTGTTGAATAAAGATAAAGAAGCATTCAACAAATAAAAGGTGTTTTGAATTTTCAGTGCAGCAGTGACCCTCCTAGAATTTCCCTACTGGTATTTCTACACCATCTTCTGAATGCTCCAAGATCCTGTGGGTTGACACCTGCATGGTTATAACAAGGCTGGAGCTTAGAGCTCAGGAAATACTTTTCAGCTTCAGGGTAAAGAGAGGATCCTTCCTTTCCCTGGAATTGTTTTGAATTAGGGCCGTGCTTGGCAGCAGGTATCTCAGGCAGGAAGACAGTCAGTAATACTATTTGCAGAAGAAGGGACTTTGCATTTCAATCTTTGTAATTGTACTTAGAGAACCATGGGCTGGATTTTCTGTGGCCTGCTGGGCTCAGGGTGGGCCAGTTTCCTCAACTGAGGAGTGGGAAAGTTACCTCCACCTCTTTCATCTTCTTCACAAGTCATTGCAAAGACTGTACTTAAGAAGGGATAAGAAGGGACCAAAATATTGTCCACGTTGTCATTATTCAGTTAAGTCAGTAATCAGTATTGGACACTAGGAATTCATTTGCTCAATTAGTGAACAAATCCTAAATGAAGGAATCTTAAGTGAAGGACAAATTAGATCTGACCCTTGCTCAGAATGGTAAATAGCTATCCCATCTCTTTTATACCACACTGTGTACCTGCCTTCAGAGGGCCTTGTGTATTCTCAGGTTCCCTGCATCTATACATTGTTCACTCTCACCTTCCATCACTGTCCCTAAACTTCAAACACTAGCATCAAGGGGAGGGTCATCTGACAAGGTCAACAAGCAAATCATATTCACCTGGGCTTGAGACACATCCATCCCCTCCTCTGCTCTGCTCTGCTCTGTCCTGTCTAACCCAGGCTCAACCAGACTGGGAAGTCTGAGGCAGGAAGATTGAAAAAGCCTGATGCTTGATGTGTGGGTCAGCACCACAGAGCAAGATAGGGGCAAAGCCAGCTCTCACATTTCAACTTGATTCTAAGCCTGTTCTTAGTGCTAGAAAGTGATCAATCAGTCATTACTGTCCCATCTCACAATCCAGTAGGGTTGGTAAAATAGGAGACAGAGCCAAACGTTCAGTGTTGAGCTCCCAAAGTTTCCCAGGGGAAACTGGCCTGTGACTTAATCTTACTCTTTACAGTAGAGAGCTTTATTTGTTCATTTACTGTTGCAGTGCTGGGGACTGAACTCAGGGTCTTGAGCATATTAGGCAAGCTATCACTTGAGTCTTGTCCTCCAGCCCTTTTATTCTTATTGCATTCCTAACACAGGATCTTGAACTCCTGCTGCCTAGGCTGGGTTTGAATACCGAATCTTCCTGCCTCTGTATTCTGAGTAACTGCAGTGACTCAAACAGGCACCACCATTGTTGGCTGGGAACATTAACCTTTTAGTCTGAGCCTTCAGCCTGGTTCTGTGTACTCCTTTCCCAACAATATGCAAATTAATCACCTGGGGATTTTGTTAAAATGAAGTACAGAATGACTCAATGAATCAGGCGAGGCCTGAAATCCTCCATTTCTAGCAGGCTTCCAGATGTGTGGGCCACACTTGAAGTATGAAATTCTAGAACACTTACCTCATTTCTCTGATCAGTGATGACTGGATTGATGTCTCCATGAGAAAGGGGTTTATTCACTCTGCAATGTGTCCCCAGTCCCCGTTACTTTAAATAAGTACTTGGAGAAGTGTATCAAGATCAAAGCTCCCTCATCCATGGGAGCTGAGAATGAACCCCAATCTTGGCTAGGCAAATCCACTCACACACATAGCACACACATGTAATTTCTACCTGGCTCTAAGAAGCAGATGCCAGTATTTGACTGGACCTCATCTGTGGCTGAATCATTTCCTCAGCCCACTTCATAAACCGTGTCTGAGGACTCACAAGGGGGCTGGGTCCCATGTGGCAAAACTCACCCACCATCCCCTCAGCCCCTTCTCCAACTTACCAACCAGCACACCAAGCCCGGAGAAAGATTTTTTTCTTTTTAATTAAACTAGTCTCTATTAAAAAATAGTAACAACCTGATAAATCCTGTAATTTCCAGGAGATTAGGGCAGACATTGAGGCCCACTAACTCCCCTTTCCAGTCAGAAGCCCTCGGTGCTACTTGTCTCTGAAATCTCCAAGAACTGTCCTCTTAAGGGCCTAGCACCGAGCAGCCAGGTGTGTCTGTGTGGGAGGGGAGCTGCCTCCCTGTAAGAAACCTGGGTGGAGGGAGACAATGTTTATGGAAATGAAGGAAGGAGAGGAAGCAATAAGCCCAGAAGTCTGACCTCGGTTATGTTGGCAAAACATGAGAGGAGGTGGACCAAGTAGAGTCCGTTCAACAGGCAGCTTGAGATGGGAGCTTCTAAAGACTAGAGATCACCTGGACACCTGGCTGGGGGGGCTGGGGGGAGGGGGGAGTCGCGGGTGGTGATCCAGCTGGAGGGAGGAGGGGACTTGGGACTCAGAGTACTATAGAGGTGCAGGGAGGGGGGCGGGGAGAAGGGTGATAAATGAAGGGAGAAGAAATGAAGGGCTCACAAACTGGAAGGGACAAGGGTCCTGTGGCAAGAGGCGGCGGCGGCGGGGGGGGGGGGTAAGGGTGGTGGGGGGGCGCCAGGGGAGGGGGAGGAGAGTTCTCCCCAACCCTGAAGGATATAGCAGATTTGTTCAGTTCAGCAGCCAAAGGTGCGGTGCTCAGAGGTGAGCTTCGAGCGGGAGGGGTGGTGGACAAAGGCGGCAGAGTTGGGGGTGCGCTGGTGGGGGGAGGGCGGAGGAGGCCCCCCACAGGTGTTGGCTGTCGGTGGGGACGAGGCTCACAGGTAGCGCTCCAGGCCGGGCGCGAAGCCGGGCTGCCTCAGGTAGACCTCCCCAGAGCCGAGCGGCCCGAGCGCGCTGGCGGGTCCGGCCAGGCCCAGGAGGGGCTCGGCGGCGGTGGGCAGCGGGCCGGGGCCGGGGCGCGGGGCGGGCAGCCCCAGGCGGTCGGTGACCTGCGAGTAGAGCGAGGGCGCGGCGGCGGCGGCGCAGGGCGGGAAGGCGGCGGCGGCGGCGTCGGGCGCGGCGCAGCAGGGCGGCTCGGGCGCGCCCAGCCCCGCCAGCTCGGGCGGGAGGCTCACCAGGCTGTCGACGCTGAAGAGGCGAGCGGAGGGCGGCGCGGGGCCCGGGCCTGCGGGCGGCGAGGCGAGCAGCGCGGGGCCGGGCGCGTAGGGCGCGTAGGGGAAGGGCAGCGCGGACGACGGCGCGGACGGCGGCCCCGGCGGCGGCCCCGGAGGCTCGGCGCGCTTGAAGCGCTTGCGGCGCCGCAGGAAGCTGCCGTTGTCGAACATGTCGGCGGCCGCGGGGTCGAGCGTCCAGTAGTTGCCCTTGCCCGGATTGCCGGGCTCCCGGGGCACCTTGACGAAGCAGTCGTTGAGCGTGAGGTTGTGGCGGATGCTGTTCTGCCACTTGCGCGGGCTGTCGCGGTAGAAGGCGAAGCGCTCGGTGATGAAGCGGTAGATGGCGGCCAGCGTCAGGCGGCGGCCCGGGGCGTGCGCCAGCGCCATGGCGATGAGCGCGATGTACGAGTAGGGCGGCTTCCCGCGCTGCAGCGGCCGCCGCCGTCTCCTCCCGGGGCCCGGCGGCGGCGCGCGGCTCGGCTCCACCTCTCCCCCGCCGCCCGCCGTCACCGCCGCCTCCTCCGGCTCCCGCCCCGGTTCGGCTCCCGGGAGCGGCGACGGCGGCGGCCCCGACGGCGCGAGCGAGGGCAGCACCGGGAATCCCGGGAGGGTGGCCGGCGGGTCCATGTCGTCGCTCACGCCCGGTCGAGGGGTGGCCGCAGCCCCTGCCCGCGCTAGGAGAGAGCCGGGGCTGCGGACCCGCCTTATATATACATATGGACAGATTCCCCCGCTCCTCCGGGGAGAGGGCAGCGACTTTCCCGGCCAGCCAGAGCCCCCCTTCTGGGCTCACCCCCCCCTCCTCCATTTCTCCCACCCCTTTGGGTCATTTTCTCCCCCCCTCCCCTACCCCAGACCCCGCCTCATCTCTTCCCATCTCCACTGGGTCGGTCCCAGACCCTGGCCTCATCCCACAGTCTTTGATCAGACCCTTCCCTTCCTGCCCCTCCTTTTACCCCCTCCCCTTGGGCCAATCCCAAATCCACCCATTCAGCACACTCTCTGGCCCTCTCCCCATTTTGCTCCTCCCAGCAATCGGACCCCTCCATCCTCCTCCCTGTCCTTCCATTCTTCAGCTGGATCAGAGATGAGAGGCGACTTTCTTGCCTGCCCTTAGGGCTCTATGTGGCTAGTCAATGAGGCCATCAGACCGCCATTGAACAATATGGAACCAGAGACAAGATAATTGAGAAAGGCAGAGGCTAGAGTGACTTTGTCTCCTGGGAGGATATGTGAAGACCCCCCCAGATTAGAATAATTAATATCTCCTTTCTCTGCTGCCTCTCCCACATCCTTCTCTCCAGGCTGTGCTAGCAAAAAGTGGCTACCCCGCTGCTTTGAATGAAGAGTTCCCCCCAACACGCACCCAAGCACAAACAGCTCTGAGAGCCTCCCAAGTTCCAAGGAACAGTTAGTTACCAGGTGGGAGAGAGACACCCCCTTTCCCCATTAGCCCAGGTGCTTCCATAGACTGACGGTCTGAACTCTGCTTTTTGATCCACAGACCCAACACTCCCATCTCACAGAAAGCAGAAGGTGTAGGCAGTTTTTGTTAGAAGCTCAGGGGAAAACACCACTTCCATGGAAAGAAACCAAAGGCTGAAGGAGACCTGTGTTAAAGTGACTTGTCCTGCAGACAGACAAGATCAAAGGACTTGGACATAAGCAAGGCTGGGAGTATAGAGAAGGAAGAGAAAGCTAAATTTAAGGGGTACCACTCAGTGTCTTGATCAGCCCCTTTGAGGGCCTACTGAAATTTGAGGTCTCAGCCCACCAGAGTCTGATAAGATTTGTCTTTCTTCCCTACACATAAGCAGAGCTTAGCTTCAGCTAGCCTAGAACATCAGCATTGAAACTCGAAGTCTAAAGCACAAGGCCCCTCTCTCTTAGGTCCACTCATAACTGGTAACACAGCCATTACTGTATTTTGTATTTGGTAAACATTTTTTAATACATTATTTTGCTTAAGTTTGAGTACCTTGTGGAATGTTGTTATCCTCAATTCGTGAGTGAGGGAATGAACATTGAGAGGCTTAATGGTTTGCCTAACCTCACACAGACAATAGTGACAGAGCACCACCGCTCTTCCAGCACCATCCTTCACAGTGGAGACTTTCATTAAACACAGTGGTTCACACCTATAATCCCTGTACTGAAAGCATGAGGATTGTAAGTCTGAGGTCAGCTTAGTCTACATAGTGAGTCTCTATTTCAAAAATAAAGTGGAGCTGGGCACTGATGGTTCATGCCTGTAATCCTAGCTACTCAGGTGGCTCAGATTTGAGAATCATGGTTCACAGTCAGCCTGGGCAGGAACATCCATGAGTCTCTTATCTCCAATTAACCACCAGAAAACCAGAAGTGGTACTGTGGCTCAAGTGGTAGACTGCTAGCCTTGAGCTGAAGAGCTCAGAGTCAGCCCCCAGGCCCAGAGTTCAAGACCCACAACCCCCCCCCCCAAAAAAAGTGGAGGTTTTTAGAAATATATTAGAGTTTCTCCTACTCTTCTGCTACTTCACTTGCCAACATGAATACCTGGTTTCTCTGAGGAGTCATACCTTTTGCTGCCTTCATTGTGGTAAGCAGACAGTGGCCCTATATGATCTGCCTGGTGAGCAGATCCAGGTGCTTAGTGGACATCCCTACATGGATGAGGTTTGTGACATCTCAAACCCAGAGCTACTCAATGAAATGTCCTAAGTACTCTCTGCCCCAGCCTGCTTTCCTATCAGCATTCCAGATCCCTTTTCCCTTCTGGCTCAGTCTCCATATCTAGGCCTCTGCCAGATTTTGTCAGTGTTTGCTTGAATCCCACAGCCAATCCTCCTTTAATTCTCCCAGCCTCAGTTCAGCCTGTATTGTTCACCCAGTACTTCTAGCCAGGCCCTTTGAGGGTGCTTAGGGAAAGACAGAGACAATGAGAGATTGACAGTAAGCCTGGTGAGGGGTAAAAGGAAAAGATAACACTTTCAGATCTAGAGTCTGTGGCCCATTGCCAACAACAAAGAATAAGCAGGTGTATGCCGGACAGACCCTGTCTCAGTACCCTCTCCCACCCTCTTCACCATGCAGCCCACTGCCCAAGCACAGGTCACTGGGGCGCAGGACAGTGTAATCCCATTGAGCAACACTCTCCAAAGAAAAGGGCAAGACAACACCCGCAGCAGCAGGGGATCTAATTTCATCAGTGGGTGTCCAAAGCCAAGTATTATCTGAACCTCAGTTTCCTCACCTGCCAAATAACAGGCCCTTAGTAAAGCAGTGCTCTTCCCCTTCCTGTATACATCATTTCCAGTATTAACCAGGAAGGCAAGGAGAGAGTGAAGCAGGACATCTTTTCAGTCAAATGACTGATTGAACCTCAGTTACCCTCCTTTCCTACATTCTCTTAGAGATGGAGCTCCTCCAAAGAAGGTCCCTACCACAGCCTCCACCTCTTGAGGAGTAAGGCATCTGAAGGGGACAGGGGGAGGCAAATTGGCTCTTACTATCTCCAACAACCAAATGCAGCTTTCTTGTGCTTTCAATTTTACAATCCATGTGTATACCCTGGGACATAGTACATGTTCAATAAATGATCCTGAACATGCTGTTGGCTATGACAATCCTGAGTAGAGTGGTGACAGGGAGCTTGGCCCAAAGAATGAGAACCCAGACATTTCCAGTTCTTTGTGCCTGTCTGCCCCCCCCCCCAAAATTGGGCCTGCTTCCCAGAGCAGAGCAGGCCAGTGTCAGGGGGCGGCCCAAGGGCTAATCCGTGTTTTCAGCGTGGCTGGGCCCTCTTTTCACAGGCCCTGGGCCGGACGTGATGCGGCTGAGCATCCGGGCATAAGACGGCCAGTGAAGGCGGCCCCTTTCTCATGGGCCTGGATTCCAGGCGGCCCAGCGTCTGAGTGGAGCCCCTGGGGCGGGAGGAACACAGTGGCTGGGCTGGGCAGTCCTTTGTCTGACCACACTGGGTGGATATTTGGGCTGGCAGGAGGGATTAATGGCCAGGGATTGGCCCTGGGGCCGGCCTTCCCACTGCCCTTTGGAGGCCAAAGGCCCAGGTCAGGGCACATAGCCTTGATGGCTCTCTAGATAGAGTGGAAATTCCCACCCTTGTCTAAAGCTATTTGTACCAGCTCCAAGACCCCCTACCCCCAGCCTCAGCTCTGCAGAGAGAGGCATCACTAGCCCAGATAGACCTAGAGGCAAGGAGCAGAGAATGGGGCCAGAATTTACCAAGTACTCTGCTGAGGAGAGAAAGGTAGGGCTGAAAGTCATTTCAGTCCTGGAAGGGCCCATGGTTGCCTTTCCAGAGCTCTGGAGAAAATGAGCTTTCTGTTAACCCAATGAAAATCCAATGGGCCAGCATGTCCTTAGATCTTTTAAGTCTTCCCGGACTATTCCCTCAAAGACATCTACTTTGAGAACATCCATTATTTCTAAAAACTCTCCATTACAGCATGGAAGAATCCCTTAGCAGTAATACAAGAGGCTCAGGAACCACAAGAAATCCTAGATATATACACTCAACTCTATCTTTGGTCAACCAAAGCCCTTGACGACTCCTGAGGGGCTTTTCCCCTTTTATTCCCCAAATGAGAATTACCCAGGATACCATTTGTTTCCTCAAGAGCCTAAGGTAGGCAGTTCTGAACTGTCTGGGGGCTATAGGGCAGCCTGCTGTGGTGAATCCCTTTCTGGCCAGGTTCTTCTTACAGTAGGGCTGAGAACAGCAGCCCAGGCTTGCCCACCTGAGCAAGTTCAGGCTAGGCGGCAGCAGTTTAGGCCTGCTTGATGACAAAAGCCTAGGAGTGCCCCTCTCTGTGATTCTTTACTTCTTAGGCTCTTTCATTCAGCAAAGTCCAAGGAAGTATGTCAAAGCAGTCTGGATGCTGGATGGTAGTAAGGAGTCAGACCTTTTGCTGCCTTCATTATGTGAAGCAGACAGTCACCATATATGTGGTTAGCATAAGATGTGAGGGGAATTGGAACCTCACCCAGCCTAGCCAAGTCAGAAGGGCTTCCTGGGAGGGGTGAGTCTCCAGATAGCTAGGTAGAGAAAGACCCTAGGGAGCTCATCCTCTGGACCAAATAATATCCATCACTCCACTTACTTCTTGTCCCTCGCTGTATCCCCACCAGTAGATTGTGTGTACACTGAGGTCACATCCATGTTCACTCACCTTTGGGTCCACAACATTTAGTGTAGGGTCTGGTAAGAGTCCATGATGGACGGATATGTGTCAGATGGCTAAAGCATGGCTGGATTCTAAGTTGAGAAAACCATGTGTACAAAGTCTGAAGGCAAGAGCAAGTAGTTCATCCTGGAAAGGGAGAGACTTGGTGTTTGAGAATTGTTAAGAGCTAACATGTGAAGTTCGTTTTTTTTTTTGTTTTTTTTTTTTTTTTGGGGGGGGGGGTCCGGTCATGGGGCCTGAACTCTGGGCCTGACCACTGTCCCTCAGCTCTTCAGCTCAAGGCTAGCATTCTACCACTTGAGCCACAGTGCCACTTCCAGCTTTTTTCTTTTTGCTTATGTGGTGCTGAGGAATCGAACCCAGGGCCTCAATGCATGCAAGGCAAGCGCTCTGCCACCTTCCCCGCCCACGTGTGAAGTTCTTAAAGCCTTGCCTGTAGCT